TATTAAATGTTTTGAATGAGCACCTTTAAATATATTAAAACCTTTATACTTCACAGTAACACTTAAATATTTATGAATGTGAGCTCAGTAGTCTATGGTTGCAGTAGTCTGCAGTCGCCCGACAGGCCGTCAACTCACCAGTCGAGCAAACGCTCTGCGACGTGACGTCATCGATGCTCGAGGTGAAGACAACTTGACTACCGAGCAACGAGAGGCAGACAACTCACCAGTCGAGCAATCGCTCTGCGATATCGATGCTCGAGGAGAAGACCTTGCTTTGCAAAACAAGAGATGCTAACTCAAGAGTTGCATAGCATTTACTTAGTGCCGACTGATATTAGTTGTAAGCCAACTCACCACGGCAAGGTTTCAGTCATAGAGTTGGAATTTCTTTTTGCAGAAGAAAACCAGGAACAGATAGGCACTGTCGCTGCGCCTGGAAAAGAAACTGGGCCGAAGAATGGATAGAAGATGTTTACTTTTTGTTACGATTAATGAATTTAATATGATATTTGAATACTAAACGTTATGGGGGAATTTAATGGATGGAAGGTTTTGTTTTCCTTTTCGTTACGAATAATGAATTTTATTTGAATACTAAACGTTATGGGAAATTTGCTGCGTTACATACTTACTCTTTGCAATACTGCGGCCCGTAGATCCTTGAACACCTTCGAAGAAGAGAGTCCACAGATAACTCTCTTTCCTTGTTCTGTTCCCAGACACGTTGCACCCTCTCGTTGGCTTCCGCATACCTGCCGTTGACACGCCCCACAACGTCCGCCTCTATCCCTATACTTACCTCGTACATTGTTGAGATTAAACTGTAAAAAGGCATATTTTTCCGAGTTATACTGTTAAAATGGCGATGCCAACCTTCCACATGATTGTTGGTTCTTATTTCTACGTCGAATACTGACCAATCATTGGGAGTCCAGACACTGTTGTATTGCCGTGTGTTTTGAAAATATTCGGCGAAGATCTTGAGTTAGCATCTTTTCGTTCAGTGATTTCAATTTGGACGTAATAAACATAGCTGGTATATAGCACAGCGCCATGGCATGCTTGATCAGGTCTCTTGTTCCAGCGTCCCTAAAACAAAAACATGTTAATACAAAAGAAGTGAAAGATGTACAAAGACATATATAAATATGGTTAACCACTCACCCGTATAGGCGAGCCAAATTATTGTGACGCACATCCTTCAGTGATATCCATGCACGGAGATTAGATATGGTACCAGATCGGTGATAATGAAGCCGCGCGCCGAGATTACTGCTCGGTTATCGCCGAGTTTAAAGCCTCATTATCGCCGGCCTGCCCCCCTACAAACGTAAATACTCATTAGCCGAGGTCGTTTTCATCACAGTTTTATACTGAAACGAGGACGACTAACGGTATATTAACTCCACAAAAACTACGCAAGAATTCAAGATGATTACTCCAAAAATGTGACGACAACGTTACCATGAAGCAGGAGGGACTCATCTGTGACGTCTGTCGAAATTGGTTTCATCGCAAGTGTTTTAATAATTCAGATGTGGCAATGACAAGGGAACAGTACAGCCTATTAAAAAAACAGGACGTAACGTTTGAGTGGAAGTACCCGGACTGCTACCAGGCCCATGACACCCATCATAACTCCAACCCGATTGTTGTATCCCAGCAGATGGAACCTAGCCGTCGGCTGGTAGACTACTCAGGTGGTGAGTTGGCTTAAAACTAATATCAGTCAGCACTAAGTAAATGCTATGCAACTCTTGAGTCTGCGTTTTGCAAAGCAAGGTCTTCTCCTCGAGCATCGATATCGCAGAGCTCGGCTGGTGAGTTGCCTGCCTCTCGTTGCTCGGTAGTCGAGTTGTCTTCACCTCGAGCATCGATGACGTCACGTCGTAGAGCGTTTGCTCGACTGGTGAGTTGACGGCCTGTCGGGCGACTGCCGTAGGCGAGTTCAGACTACTGCAATCATAGACTACTGAGCTCACATTCATAAATATTTAAGTGTTACTGTGAAGTATAAAGGCTTTAATATATTTAAAGGTGCTCATTCAAAACTTTTAATACCAATAAAGTTCAAAAAATCAAACGAACACAGTCTTATAAGTCAACAGTCGAACTTCGCTAACGTTACTCCAATTTCGTCTATAGACTGTATTTGTCCTCATACAACATGATCAAAAAAGCCACCTATACAAATAAAAATGCCTTCTAGAGCATATTTATTTATTTTTCTCAACATTTGGGCACTAAAAATATCAAAAACGCATTTCTATAGACCTAAAACACCACCATAGAAAATGCCAAAAGACGGACAACTCACCAGGCTTCTAGGTAGTCGAGTTGTCTCTGGTGAGTTGTCCGTGTAGTCGAGTTGTCCGTCAGCCCACGAAATCATGCTGTAAAATTCAGGATTTCATAAAACAGTGTTTTTACTATATGGGTTGTCTCTTCCTGATAAAGATGCGCGTGATACACGTTGTTTTGTAGCATCTGTCGCCACACATATCGCTAAATTGTAACGACAAAAAAAGCAATTTAATGCAATAATTATAGGGGGAAGGGAAGCCCAAAAAACACCATGAGCCTATTCATCCATACTTATTTTTGATCCCCAATGCCAACCATGTTTTAAAATTAGTTTTATTTTTTGGCAATAGAGAATTATAGAGATTGGACAATGTACTTATACTCGACAAATTGTCGATTTATTGTGTGTGTGTGTGAGTGGGGGCACTTTTTATGGCATCGTGACATTCGGGCAGCAGGATTTCGCTAACGTGATATACCGTAGTTATAGAGTCACTGGTCAGTTGCTATTTAGTCACGTACCGCACCGGTGCGAGTATTTTTTATGTTTATGTGTGTTTTTCATTCTATTTTCATAAACCTATATTTAAATTGTTTTGTAACTTGAAAATATTTCATTTGTATGACAAAACTGGAAGCCGAAGCTCCCAAAATAGCACAAAACGAAAATGACATGTGAAATTGTTTTACTAAAAAAAGTCGTCTATTGGTCAAGGGCAGTAGCAGAGTAGGGCGCGATGAAATTTGTGATTGACGCGGTTAGTATGAGTTGAATCAAGTCACTAAATTTTCCACTCACATAAAAAATACTGTACTTTATTTATTCAACCTTCAATGTATCTTTTAGTAGTGATATTGGCAGAGTTTCTGCAGTAAATATGAGTGTATGATTAAGTATTACAGTAATAATGAAGAACTGAAAAATATCAGTTATACTGTATCAAATACGAAAAATCATTTTACTGATCTGGTGCTTACTAACAAGACATCCCTGCTGGCAAGCAGAACACTGAACTTATTATTTTTTCTTATTACTTATCGATTTTAATCGGTAAGTATGTTGATAGGTATTTGTCTGTATGTTTGTTTGTCTGTTAGATGCACGCGATATCTCACGAAAGCGAAATTGAATCTGCTCCAGAATTTGCATGTGCATTCAACTATCTTGGACCAGAAGCCTATTGATTTTGGGCGAATTATATCGTATAATTAGCGAGTTATCAATCAATTATTGATGAAGTGATCTAGATTTTTGTTAAGCGAGAGAATTTTGAGACCCGCCGAGTGTGTGTGTGCGATGCGCAGTGCGCAAGTTACAAGAGCGGATGAATCAAAACTGCAGTTTCTGTTTTGGGGGATCCCCTAACTATCGATCGATAAGTCTTCGGTTTCCAACCGATATTCTCGTATTATTCTTGTCGAATCTTCCTGATACACAATTTTTGTTTTGAAATTATTACTGTTCCCCTTCATTGTTATAGATAGCTACTAACAGAGAACATTTTAACCCTTCATCTCTACCCTCATACCCTGTTTCATTTTAATAAACCATTTTTGTTTCTGCAAAATTCATGCTCTTGCATTTATATAACAAACATGTGAACCTTTTTTCTTCAAAGTTCCTTGCAATAATTTTGCATCATTTTGAACATTGCTTTTTATTTTGTTGCATGCTAACTGTTTGATTTTTGTTTCTTCTAATTGTAATGTACTCATCGTATATCCATGCATATAAACCACGTTTAAAACTCAAAAGAAACAGTTGCCATATCAAGGGGGTGGCTTACACCTGTATACGCTCATAACTTTGATTGCACTAAAGGGTTTGTTTTGAGACATTTCTTACTGTTATTAATAAAAGTAAAACATATCAATAATGACTATCATTTTATCAATTCTCTTCTGCAACCAGTTGCTGTGATACCGCATGTTTCGATCCGTAGGGTCGGCTTATATGCGGATTTTTATAAAGTCACCGTTTTTGGAGGTGACTTATATTTAAGGATATACGGTAGATTACTTAACTTGTATTCTACTTTGATTATTTAACTTGGAGTGGAAGTGGTGACTCCTCTTCGGCCCATCAAATTGGGCCTCGGCCCATCAGGCTATGGACCGCGGCCCATCAAGTTGTGTAAAGAAACTATTCACTTGGCTAACACAGACAGTCCCCAAACTCATAATAGAACTATAATGTAAAAAATCTGAACTAACCTAACCCTAACCTGGTACACATACTACAGGAGTTTATTTTTTGATTCGAATATTGACAATTTTGTAAAAATTGAAAATTTTGGTAAGATAATTGAATTTTTCCTGACGAGGCCGCGGCCTATAGCTTTATGGGCCACGGTCCATGTGGCCCAATTAGATGGGCCATGGCCCCGGCCCATGGGTCGTAGAGGAGTCACCACCCCTGTAGACTTGTTGGAAAAAAGCCTTACTTGGGCCAAGTCTACAGGGGTGGTGACTCCTCTAACAAGTATACAGTTTTAGTGGGGAAGGCGCGTCGTGTACAATACTGCAATAATTGATACTTCATGACAATTGAATTAAATAATTTTTAACTTGATTGATAATTTTGTTGGCTTTCTTGGTGATGAAACTTTTGTCTTTATTTCCATTGCGTTTTTCTATCTCATTTAGGCTAATTTTGAACTGTAAATAAACGTACTCATTTTACAATATCGCAGGTACTTACTACTAGATTATTTATAGTTATACTCAAACATGACGAGACATCAACGGAATGCGACTGCTGGAGCAGTCTATACTTACCATGAGCGAAAAAAGGATACAGAGCAAAGCGGGTACGGGTCGGACAAAGCACGTCTCGGAAAAGACTCTGTGAAGGATTTTGATGCTTGTAATCTTACATTACAGCCGTGTAAAGAGCCTGTTGTGACACCGGAGGGTGTTCTTTATGATAAACAGGCTATTTTGGAATATATTTTGCAACAAAAAACGCTGATTGCAAAAAAGATGAAAGCGTATGAAAATCAGAAACATGAGGATAAAAAAGAATTAAAAGAACTCGCTGAAATTGAAAAGAAGGAAAAAGTTGCGAAGTTTTTAAAAAAGGAGACGAATATTGTGAGCGAACCGATTAATCCTTTCCGAAAAGATGGCGCCGATAAACCAGGAACAAGTAAATCGAACGGGCAGTCTGAATTGAGCAACCTTTACGGAGATAAAAAAAAGGAATTGACAAGTTTTTGGATTCCACAGCTAACGCCAGCGGCAAGCAAAAGTCGTTTTAAAAAACCGAGTTCGAAGGTTTATTGCCCGATTAATAACACTTCGATAAAAATGAAAGATTTGATTCCAGTGAAATTTACACCAATTGCAGACCGTGACACGAAAACTGCGCTAATTAGTAAAAAGGACCGTTGGATGTGTGCAGTCACCCATGACACTTTAGGGAACTCTGTACCATCGGTTGTTTTGCGTCCAACAGGCGATGTCGTTACTGCAGATTGTGTTGAAAAATTAATAAAACCCAACGAAATGAGACACCCTATAACCAATGAAATTTTAGATGAAAAACGAGATATTATTCCGTTACAACGTGGCGGGACTGGTTTTTCTCAGACGAACGAATCTCTGGACGTTAAGAAATACAGACCTTCCATGCATGTTTAGTTTGAGTGAAAATTTCTAAAAAAAAATCTCTCTCTGAAAGCTCCAACGAAAATTTCCTCCATTGAATATTTGGTAGCCTACTGCTGTAGTGGTGTGTACCAGGTTGGGGTTATCCCACAATTTTTTTCCGATTTTCTTTATTTTAATTCTGTTATGAGTTCGGAGGCTGTCTGTGTCAGCCAAGTGAATATACCACATAGGTTTCAGTTCCTTTACCCAACTTGATGTAAAGTAGGCGAACAAAATTAGTTCCCTCCATATTATTGGTACACGCATTTCTGGAGAGCCAAATATTCTACCAAGACAGTATAAATCCCAATCTTAATCACTATTTCGGAAACTTTTTGGCGTTTCCACTGCGACTTAAAACACATGTTTTAGTCGAGTATACTCTGGAAATTACTCTAAATCTGACAAACTACGGCTGCTGGGTGATTCTGTCTGGCCCACCTGATGCTGCCACAACCAAACTAAAACCAAATTTTGATGTTTTAGCAAAAAAAAAAAAGCTCACAGGATTTGTTGAGATTGTGATTAAATTTAGTTTGGGCATGAGGCTTATGGTTTTCCATGTTTGCTTTTGTGATACTGTAGATATTGTTCATAAAATGTAATTTTTTACGTTTCACTCACATGGCCCTCCAGTTTAGGTGGGCAAGTTTTGGCTTTTGTTCCCCCCTGGGAATTTCGGCTACAACTCCTGACTGCAACGAAACCTTTGAATATCCGTTGTGAAGGATTTTTTAGTCGATGTTGTAAATCCGAATTCGATTATTACCATTGTAAGTCTGTATTTTTGACATATGTCGTTACAGCACACTATCCAAATTCCAAGAATTTCCCCCTCATTTGGCTCAATGAAACAAACACTCTAAGTGTCTCACAAACGAGGGGCGTCTGGGACCAAGTTAGATGCTTCATATCGTGCCATGCTCGTCTCAATAAAAATCTAAATTAATCGTGGGCGTCACATGACCAAAATTGCCGTTTTTTGCTAAAAACTCTCGAATGCTACGGTCAAATTTTTTTTCCTTTGGTAAATCGGATTATTTTTTTCCAAGGAATTCAATGATGACGTTACTAGAGTGCGCTTTTTTGTAGTATTTTGCGCAACTTCATTATACAGTATTATTACCGATATTGAGGGACAACAATGTCTAGACGTTCTCCCAAAAGGGGTGGTCTGATTCTCCTGTAAAATGGGGTTTTCAGAAACGAGGGCAATTGTCACTCGATTTGTATAGTGTGCCCGTACTGTAGTGTACCATTATGACTTATGCAGAATTGCGGAAAAAATATGCTCTTTTAAGCCACCACCCCCCTTTTTAGAATTTGTCAGGTCCCCCCCTCAAAATAACTAGCTAACAAGAGGCTTACAGAATAACAGCTAGTAAGGGCTGGAGTATGTTTTCACTTCCAAAAAATACTGGGAATGGAACATAATAATAATAATATCAATGAAATTTTTTGAAATGTAAATATCCAAAGTAAGATGGACAATATAAAATCTAAGAAATATTTTTACTCTTGTCCCCTCAAAAAATTGTCCATGCTCCCCACAGACTTCTCACATTAGTCTTCTAACTTTATTTTTTATTCTCATTTTCAATATAAAGTCATTATGGTTGTTTGCTATATTATTCTATTCTGTCTCTATTAGAGTTGGATTGGTATTTATGCCATAAATGTGGTACTCTCGTTGTGTGTGTACCAGGGTAGGGTCAGGTCATTTTTCTTATTTTAGTTCCATTACGAGATCGGGACTGTCTGTGTTAGCCAAGTGAATATATCCCCTGCCCATAGATTTCATTCCCTTCACACAACTTGATGTAAAGTAGGCGAACAAAATTAGTTACTTCCATATCGGTACACACACTTCTGGAGCGCCCTAATTTCAATAAAAAAATGACAAACTCTGATGCCACTGCCCTGAGATCATCTGTGAGGTTATATCTATTTAGTCAGTCTATGCATCTGGAATACTTAACTGGTAAATCAATCATCTCCATGTGTAACCTGAGCTGGTAACAGGACCAACGCCTTGGTCTGCCATTAAGTAAGCTGTCTTATTGCATTTCCCCTCCCTGAGTATAAATATGGAAGCTTCTATCACAGTTTGTGAAGTTGAACTTTTTTTCTTTTTCATTTTTAATATAAAATCATTGTTTTTATACTAGATTATTTATCTAAATATAGGTTTATATTCATTTAAAATGGAAAATCAAACTGCAGTTGTTAAAGCTAATCCAACAAGAAAACGGGTTGGGCCAAAATCTAGAATAACAGCCAATCAAATTCCAGCTGAAATTCTAGAAGACTCCTCATTGGCTGCTGCAATTTCAAATCTTCCTTCAAATTACAATTTTGAAATTCACAAAACAATATGGCGGATCAGGCAGAACGGAGCAAAACGCGTCGCTTTACAATTTCCTGACGGACTTTTGATGTTCGCTTGTACCATTTCTGACATCATAGAGGAATTCACTCAAGCGGAAACTGTCATAATGGGTGACACTACATACGGAGCATGCTGCGTTGATGATTTTTCTGCACGTGCGCTGGAGTGTGACTTTATGGTTCACTATGGACATAGCTGCCTCATACCTATCAACAATATGCCTGATATCAAAATGTTATATATTTTCGTTGATATTAAGATTGATATTGAACATTTGATGGCGACAGTGAGAGAAAATTTTACACGTGAACAAGTATTATATCTAGTCAGCACCGTGCAATTTGTCGCTACTCTACACGCAGTCAAAAACCAATTGATGAAGGATGGTTTTAATGTTAATATACCACAAATCAAACCGTTGACGCCTGGTGAAATTCTTGGTTGTACTTCGCCGAATGTTGGCGATGTGAAATGTGACGCTGTGATTTATCTCGGAGACGGCAGGTTTCATCTCGAATCTATGATGATTTCAAATCCAGAAATTCCCGCTTACAAATATGACCCATACGCAAAGACTTTTACTATCGAAAAGTACGACCATTTAGCTATGCAGAAAGTGCGAAGAAACGCGATCGAGAAAGCACGAAAAGCTGAAACGTGGGGGCTGATTTTAGGTACCTTGGGACGCCAGGGATCTACGACTGTTCTGGACCATTTAGAAGAGCGAATTCTTAACTCTGGACGAAGAGTTGTAAAAATCTTACTTTCAGAAATTTTTCCGTCAAAATTAAAACTATTTCCTGATGTTGGAGCATGGGTTCAAATTGCTTGCCCCCGTTTGTCCATTGATTGGGGCCTTGCCTTTGACACACCCCTCTTGACCCCGTACGAGGCTGCTGTGGCAATCAAAGACATTGAACCGTGGGAGGGGAATTACCCTATGGATTTTTATGCTCGTCAATCTAAAGGACCCTGGACTCCAAATTATCAGCCTCCAAGAGAGGTTAAAAGTGAAGTTGTCAAAGCTACTTGATATAGAGCTAATTCGGCACTAGTTTTTAAACTTTACTGAAATACCCATCGAGTCTTAGGTTATCTGTGTAAAGTAATAAGCTTTAGAATCGCCGCCATCTTGTTTTTGTTCTTTTCGACCATTGTCAAGATGGATTATCCATTTTTTTTTGTTGAAACCATATTTTTCAAATGCAAATTTGACATATGACTATTTTCTGTAGTGAGGTATTGATAAATAGTGTTTCTTATTGTGTGTAAACGCTTCGCAATCTGTCTGAGTGACATATTCTATGTTTTCAGTAATTCATTTGTTGACAGGACCCCTACAATAAAAAAAAGTCGCATACAATTACATATCTCCTATTGACCCAAGTATTCGAGATTCGATTAGAAAAAAATATTCGATTCGATTCTGAAATCATCAGGTATTCGAAATTGCCCAGCCCTAGTTATTACTGCATCAAGTTGGTGAATTTTAATTTTTCCATCATGTTTTTTTGCTATTTTGCTCAATTATTTGTCTTGATTTTGAATAGTTTCTTTGAGTATTTGAGGTCTCACGATACGAACAAGGAAGCCATCTTTAGTGCATTTCCAAATTCAAACTTTTCAAATATGCATTGACTTCTGTGTGTTCTCTCTTGAGCATGACCTAATTTGGAATATCTTTATTACTTCTGAGTGAGTTTGCGATGCTATTAGAAGATTTTTTTTCAAAAATGTAACATTATTTATAATTTAAATGCTTCGATTTTGTGCTTTTTTGACTTAAACTTTTTCTCATTTTAGATTTTCTACGTAACTAATTTAACTATGGAAGATATTACAAGTAATTTTGAAGCTTCATTGCCTTTGGAACATTACAAAGAGGTATTAAAAAATGACGTGCGACCGGACGGAAGAGATCTTGGAAAATTTAGAAAAATGACGATTAACGTTGAATCTATTAGTACAGCGGACGGCTCTGCCCTTGTGCAAATGGGAAATACCATGGTCGTTTGTGGGGTCAAAGGTGAACTTACGAAACCCCCCGCTTCGAAGCCTGATTGTGGAATTATCGTTCCGAATGTGGACTTACCGCCGATGTGTGCGGCTCATTTCAAACCCGGTCCACCGTCCGAACAAGCACAAGTTGCGAGCCAACTTCTTAATGACATCATAAAGACTTGTGATGTCATAAATCTTGATGAATTATGTATTTTTAAAGACAAACTGGTCTGGGTTTTATATTGTGATGTTGTTTGTGTGAGTTACGATGGAAATTTAAATGATGCTTGTATAATGGCTTTAGTGGCCGCTCTCGAGAACACAACGTTGCCAAAAATAATACAATGAAGAAAATGATGTCATAGAGACGCTCGCTGACCCGGAACAGAGGTCAAAGTTGATAGTTCGAAAAAGGCTAGTTTCTTCAACTTTTGTTTTATTCGACTCTACTCATCTAATTGCTGACCCAACTTTGAAGGAAGAGGAAATGACATCGGGAGTAGTTACCATAGTAACGGATGACCAAGGCAAATTGTGTCATCTTCACAGGCCTGGGGGATTCCCCCTCAGAGACAAACAATTAGAAAAATGTATAAAAGCAGCAACGCGGAACGGTCAAAAGTTGCACTCATTGCTGCAACAATTTCAATGATATTTTTATGCTGATAATGATAAACTAAAGCGAAAATTGCATAAATGAAAGATTTTAGAATAAATATCATAATTAAAACTGACCAAAAGGTACTAGGTGCTCATGTTCATATGAATAGAATGGTAACGTGAATAGCTATTCGCTTTCCGGACTTGAACATGAGGTATGTGCAAGGAGGGGTGTGGCTTTATATGTCAATATATCTCTGCATTTGGTAGTAAAGTTTGATTGTGTTAACCGCAAGTTAGCATGTGCGATATAGTTTTCTGTTATCAACTCAAACAAATATTTATTTAACTAATTATCTCCAGGGTTGCCCAAAACGAATCGAATAAATATCAAAGTATTCGAATACCTTTTCGTCTGATTTTTGAATAATCCTGAATAATGGCCACTTTTCGCCGTAAGCGTGGTGTTCGTTTTCAAGGGAAATCTTATTTGTTGTATCTATCGTATTGAACCTCAGCACTCTATTGCTTTCTCTCTCCACTGCAAACCAAATTTTCCATAGGGGACTTTTAAAGCTTCCTCTATGCAAATCCAATCGTACGTTTTTTGTACACAATTTTTACCATCTAAACAAGACTCTGTGTGAGCAAACACTGACCCTTTTTATGCTCTTTCTAATCATTGCCAACTTCCTTTCTTAGATAACAAACATGTTTAGTTTAAAATCGGAACTGTTTAAAAAACAACAAGAGGTAACTTCTAAAAAATCTGGTCAAATAGTTACATCGGCAATCAGAAAACAACATAAATTGAAAAGTTCTTCAAATGGGGAGGGGAAAGTACCTGAAAATGAGAAGAATCCGGGAGTTGAAGAACGTAACGCAAGAGATATTGCCGAAACATCTGAAGAAATAGATAAAGGGAAAATGGTGAAATCTGTGCTGGAGGTGAAAATGAATTCTTTTGTAATAAAAACTATTTTACCTTCTCTTCAGGTTTATTGTTTTTTGCGATTATTGGAGATGAGGTTATAGGTTTTGCATTCCCTGGAAGAATTTTTCTATTATGTGCTGTTTTCTTTACCTTTACTCCAGAGTGAGTGCCTGTGACTTTACTCAAAGATGGGTTTTATTCACATGCAATGCACAAAGCTGAGTTCACAGTCTTATTCATAATTCATTGACTTTGACTTGTCATTATGATTGAGCGGTCTCATCAGCTTTCTTACACATTGTCACATAAGTAAGTGTTTTTTGTTTTTTTTTCCCAGGCCAAAGCCAAACTCTATGAGAAAATGTCATCAGGAAACCTGTTGCCAGATGAAGAGAGTTCTTCATTATTTCTGGTTGATTTTGAGCAGAAATCCATGGATGCCAGATTACAGAAGACAAATAATGAACTTGATATCAAACCAAGAGTTGGAATAAATGTGGCAACAGAGTTAGGTGAGCGATTGTAAATCAAGGATTTTGTAGGGAATTGAGAATCTCAGGCAAAGTAAGCTGGTACGATCAGTAATCAGTAGTTTATTTGTCGCCATACTGAAAATAGGCACAAGACATACAAATTGCAATAAATAACAGGAGAGCGATGCTCAAATATATGGACACGTAGTTGTATCGGTATACAGTACCCGCAGTGTCACTGAGCATGTGATACGCTAATTTGTATTCATGGAATAGCCACGTGGTTGCAAATTTTGATGATCTCTTAGCATACAAAAAAGCGAATTCCATACAGCTCACCAGAATATTTGAAATAAATAAAAATAATCTTCTAGCAAAAAATCCAATCTTCGAGCACTGAAAATTTCAAAGCATTTGGTCCAGTAATCAAAGAGAAAAGTGATTTTTTTTTGTGACAAAGGAATGCAACATAATAACGAAACGATCCATATATTCACTCCATGTCAAATAAACAAACCGCGTTCCAGGGTGAAGGAGATGCAGAAAACCAATACTGGTTATCAGCACGAGCAGTGGTATTCATAAATAACTCAGGATATTATAAAAAAAATCGAACTATGTATGTTATTAATTGAAAAAAATACCATGAGGCGATCTGCTATGCACAGCAGTCGTACACGAAACAAAAAACGACTCTGAGCACCACTAACTCTGTCCCCATGAAGTTAGCAGTAGTGAGGCAGTCTAGAGCCTTTTTCAAATAGATGTGTAACAATCAATTTAGAATATTTCTCTTCTTATTCTCAGCTTCTGAACTCCAGAAATCAGAGAATGAATGGGTCGAATATACAGATAGTTTGGGTCGGACGAGAACGTGTTTGAAAAAAGATCTGGACAGAATGAAAAGAATGGATGAAAAACTGAATGAAGAAAAGAGAAGAAAACTGGAAATACAGGAACCTGGAGGTACTGATAAACCATGAAATTCTGAAGCTTTATATTACCTTATTAACTTTGTGTTGTTCATTCACTTTGAATGAGGCTGGTTACAGGCAGTCACTGATATGTAATAGGCGACTATGTTATAGAAAATGTGCAATATTTCTCTGTATAGCCTATTCCAAGCTCATTAGTGCAATTTTAGTGAAAGCAAAATCATAGAAGAATCTTAATTCAATTTCAATTGGAAAATTTCCCTCTTCAATTTTAAAAATTCTTCAAAATTTCTTTTTTATAATAAATTTTCCCATTTTTATCAGAGTTAGATTACAGTAATTCATAATTTTCAAAGTTGATGAAAATAGTAAGGGAGAAACCTAACCATGAGGATGTGTACATCTCTTGATTATAACTCTAATAGTTATCTCTAAATAAGGAGTAGGATAGGATAGGATTTACATATTTATCTCAGGGGAGAGGAAAGGCGATAGGGACGGCTTAATCATATGGCGAACCACGGCCTCTCGTCCGGTTACCAGTCCAGGTCGGGTATGGGATTAGTTAGACAGTTATTTGTTTCCGGAAGCATGGACTTGATGGTGGAGGAAGCCGTAACAGACCAGTGGTTACGCGAACCACCCTACGGCGGCGAGGAGTCCAGCAATCCTCTCGCACATGATCATCCCCGCATGAGATTCGAACCTGCGAACTCACGAAGGGTAATCAGAGATGCGGTGGCGAGCGTATTCCTAACGCTTGGCACCAGAAAGCGGTACCTGGCCAACTTATTAAAAGTACTAAGCCACTCTATAAAAACACATTTCCTAATAATTTTCTTTTTTTGACAGAGAGAACATTGCTGTCTGATGACATGCGACGTGAAATAAAGCGTGAACAATGGGAGAGAGAAGCAGTAGAAGAGATCAACAGACCACTACATTACGAGGATTTACGAGCAAGAGAGATTCGAGAACTCGGCGTCGGATATTTCGCATTTTCGACCGATCAAAAAACAAGAGACACACAGATGAAACTTCTTCGTAAAATGAGAGATGAGACGCAAAAGGAAAGAGAAAATGCCAAAGACGCAGAGAAAAAGAAACGAACAGCGTTGCAAGCGAGATTAGAAAAAGTTCGGTTGGGGAGAATTAAAAAATTAAAAGCACAAGGAAAAGAAATTCCTGAAAAATTATTAAAACCGATTGAACTTTCACCACCAGAGGCAGAAGAAGAAAAACCCACACAAAGTGATGTCACGATAGCTGAAATCACGAAGGAGATGGAGAAAGGAAGAGAGTGATAAAGGAAAAGATGGTTGCCCGCAGAACCTACAAAACCACCCAAAAGTTGGAAAGATCCTCATGATGAGAGACTAGATGAATTTGCCCCTCCATCCTTCTACTATGACACAAGGATCATAATAATAAATAAAAGGAAATATCCGCAAAATAACACACACCCAATTAACCCTTTGAGTACCTCATATAGTGAGAGTTTAACCCATATTAGACACGGCAATTCCCAGAGCACATCCAATAGGACAGACAGTTCTAGTATAAAAACTGAAGAAAAATTGGGGGACCAATTTGGTATTCCGAACACTTTTGGACAAAAAACAAATTTTTCATCAAATTCAACTTCAACAAATTCTATTATTTCCACAGATGTACGGGAAAGAACTGATAGAGTTCTGGATTATCTTACTACTTCTGGTATAAAACAAGAAAATTCTGAATCTAGTCTAATTTTGGGTGAAAATAACCCTGATTTAGTTAAAAAAGAACCAAAAAGGGATGAAAAAATTGTAGAAAATGATGTAAATATGTTTGTTCCTACTGATAAACCAATAACAATGAAAATTAAGCAAGTGCCTAAAAAATCGAAAGTTTTGGTGTCAAAATCTGCGTTTTCTGATGATTGATTTCTGTATATTTACTGTGAAATTTTTTGTTTTTTTCTTGGGGGTTCTTTTCCAATGGGTGTCAAAGGTCATTTTCAATGGGGGGACAAAATTGCTGCCACCTACCATCATGTTAAATGCATTGAAAGACACTATTAGTGATAAATCTCCTTTAGTTATTAGGGATGGGCCGAGATCCGGACTCGGATTCGAGTCGAATCCACGCATTTTTTGGACTCTGATTCGATTTCGAGTCCATGTCATTTTTACAGAGTCTATAATCAATACTGTTTTTACTAATTTACGCCTATGTTTGTACTTTTACCTCTATAAATCTCAGCACATACCCTAACTCAGGGGTGGGCAAATTACGGCCCGCGGGCCTAATCCGGCTCGTTGGGGAATTCAATCTGACCCGCCTGATGCTGCCACAACCAAACTAAAACCAAATTTAGATGCCTTAGCTAAAAAAAAAAATAGCCCAAGAAATTTGTTGAGATCGTGACTAAATATAGTTTTGGCAAGAAGCTTCTTTTTTTCCACTTTTGCTTTTGTAACACTATAAATATTGTGCATAAAATGTATCCTTTTACGTCACATTTACATGGCCCGACAGTCTAGATGGGCAAAATTTTTGGCCCCTGGTCCTGCCCTAACCAATCAAAACGCATATTAAAAACTATTGATCGCTTATAACAAAGCTGTCGCCTTCAAAAACTATATATCCTTTTTAGTATACATGTGAACATTAGCGCAATACTTTTGAGTCTTCGATTCGCGTATGATGAAACATGCTCTGGATCAACCCAGGGGGGGAATTTATTTATACCTCTTTTAAATCGAGTTTATTATGTGTAATCTTTTCCCTGAAGAGGGAGCAATTGAAAACCTGGAAAATTTTAGAATTTTTGCATGCACTACTAAATTTCAAGCAGATGTACAACATTGTATTGGCATGAGTGGCATCTACTATTTGCGCACGCGACATAGAAGTATATGGAATTATGTAGGAGCATTGTAGTCAAAAGCTTTTTATTTTTCATATTGGCATGTAAGAATTTCGAAATAGCCGTCTAGTATTATCGGTGGTATGAGCTACGACGTATGTTTGTGAGCGCACGTTTCTGTAGCATGGTCAAAAACGTGTTTTTCTGCTTTTCCATTATGACGTCACGGACTCTGTAGATTCGATTCGAGTCCTTGACCTATTACTCGAATCTCTGTATGCCGGACTCGTCCCATCCCTAATAGTTAGTAAGTCGGTGTGACATTGCTTTGATCAAATATATTATATATTAATTATAAAGTGCAACTTCAGTTTCATTTTGTCTATTTTTCACAGAAATATTAAAGTAGTTTAATTAGTTTTTTAAAAGATAAAATGGAAGACATAACTGACAAAAAACCTGAGGATGCCAGCATTACCGTAAATTTTGAGAATCTCCATGCTAATATGGCATTGAATACTTCAAGCGGGGAGGAGCCCAAAAAATTTGATGACGAATTAGGAAAGGGGGAGGACCTATTACAAAAATTTCAAAATTCTGTTGAGAATGACGCTATTCAAAACGTTGACTCGTTAAAAGAAAGTCATGAAGATTTGAATAAATATGAGGAGTCAGCAGATGAGATTGATGACGCAGCAAATAATAGTGATGACTCTGCAAATAAAACTGATGACTCAACAAATAATAGTGATGACTCAGCAAATAATGGTTCTGAAATTAAAACTGCTGAGTCAGCAGATAATGAGGATGGTGAAGCAGAAAATCTGGCAACTATGGCTAAAGAGATTATCAAAAATGCAGTGGATGGAGCAAAACAACAAGTAGCCTCGGAGATTGAAAATAATGCGGCGCAAGATGTCGAAAAGAAAGAAGAATGGCTAGATATTCTCGGCAATGTTTACTACGGAAAAAGATTTTAAAAAGTGGGGAGGGGAGAGATTCGAGACCTAAACGAGAAGAAGAAATTACTGTGAGGTACGAAGCAAAACTAGAAGATGGAACACTCGTTGAGAAAAATGATGATTTAGTTTTCGTTCTCGGAATGCAAGATATCTTGGATGCTATTGATATTTCTGTAGCTTTGATGGAGCGAGGTGAAGTGGCGACAGTAGAGAGTGATGCTAAATACGCTTACGGAAGCGAAGGAAAATTACCAGAAGTTCCACCAAATGCAAAATTAATTTTTGAAATTGAAGTTTTGAAAATACAGGACGGCCCGTTCAGTAGCACTATTGACTTAGATCGAAGAATTAAGTGGGCGGACGCAAAACGACAAGCCGGGAATAAACTATACAGTGCGAAAAAGTATGATGAAGCTACAATGACGTACACTAGGTGCACCAAAGCGCTTGAAAAGGGCTGGATGTGCGAGGAATCGGAAGCAGGGAGGGTACGCATCAACGAATTGAGGATTAAGTGTTATAATAATTTAACAGCGTCACAAATGAAGCAAGAGAAATGGCAAGATGCGTTCAAATCTTGCCGTGCTGCAGAAAAATTGAACCTAATAATGTGAAAGCGCTTTTTAGAAAAGGAAAAATTCATGTTATGCTTGGAGAATTAGATAAAGCAGTTGATGTTTTAACGAAAGCAGGGAAATTAGAACCTGAAAACAAAGTCATCGCAAACGAAATTGCAAAACATAAAAAGAAATTGGATAAACAAAAAGAGTCGCAGAAGAAAATGTACAGACGAATGCTCGGTACTCCAGATACTAGTGCTTCAACGAAACCAGAAGAAAAAACATCATTTTGGTCTCAGAACTGGGGCCGTGTTGTTGGTGGAACACTTGCTATCGGTGCTGTTTTAATTGGAGTCTTTCTCGCTCAACGAAGCTAAACATTTTAATAATTTTCCGATAATTTTTTTGACAATATGGCATCCCTAATGTCAAATACCTATTCAATGTCTAATTGATAAAATATGGGTATTTGTTTAACCCTGTGTTAGGGATTATTAAATCAACAAATACCTATTTTGATATTGAAGGAACTACAAAATATTGCATGGGTTTGCTCATTTTACCGATATTATAATCTGTGATGATTGTAATCAACTTCTTGGAGCTTCAGCTGATGGTTGCTCGCCTTCGTTTCTTTTCAGTGTGCCATTCATTTTCTTTCTTTACAAAGAAATTTTTCGCAAATAATAATAATTTTTTGTTGATTGTTCATGTTTAATTACACAGAATTCTTTCGATTTCGAGTGTGCGAGCGTGACCATTTAACAGCAGGGAGTTGATGCTGTTTCAATTTTTAATCTCAGCTTTGTCATACTGTATATTTGCTTGGAGCTTTTTTTTTAAATCTGGCATCCCTCCTCTGCTGTCTCTGCAATTGAAAATGTAGGTGCCCAGGTATTCTTTGCGTATACATGATGGACTCTGAGGGACCGAATTTTTTTCAATAGTATTCTATTATCACTGTAATGTAGTATAAGTGGGTGGCCCCCTGGCATTATTTGTGGCCCCGGTAGAAGCACTTTGTGGTCTACTAGAGAGCAGGGACCCGGCTGGGAAACCCCAGCCTTGGTTACGGATTGATCACCCAAAAATGCAAATTTGAATTAATTTCACATAAATATTGATTTTACTGTTCTAATAGTAAATATTATCATGCTTGTTGTCAATATTCAAGTACTTAAAAATTGTGATTCCCTAAAAAAGTTATTTTTAGGTTTATCCTGAATTAAGTTCATCGTACAATTCCTCTACCAGTAGGGTTTTCTGCAGTTTATTTCAATCTAGATCATCCAAAATGTTGGCTTTGTATAATTTTACTTAAAAACTTTAATACTCTAATGGTGTACTTACAATTATTATGAATATTTGAAATAGCAATTCCCTGTAAAAGCCATTTTAGGTTTAGTTTAAATTAAATTTAAATTTCATTAGTAGAAAAATCCATGGAAATGCTTTAATCTATACAGTGATGATTTATTAGCAAATTATGATTTAATTTTTTTTTTATATTTTTACGTGTGTATTTCTTATAAAAGAGTGAAGGCTCGCTATTAAAAATAGAGTTGCGAATCTCTAAGAAAACCATTTTATGTTTGGTTTGAATCCAAATCCTTGTGATCAGTTGATCCATCCATAGGAATGCTTTAACATTGCTTTAACTTATCCAGTGATAAATTAATAGCAAATAGTGATTTTGCTCTTTTTTCTTTTTTACTTGGTTCTCTCTCGAGAGAATGTCAAGAGGTCGCTATTAAAAATGGAAATAGTGCTGATAGAAAAGTTGCAATTGCCACTGATATTCTCATAGCTATATTTTTTGATCTGTTTGATTTTCGGTTGTAAGCAATTGCTGACATGCTGATAGATTGTATATATGTGTCCAAAAAATTTTGCTCAATTTTATATTAATAACAAACAAAAATTTCTTTGTCTTTGTTTATTTCTGGTAGTTCTTATTGTGCTTTTAGTTCTCATTTATCATACAATAAAATTTATTTAAACTTACAAAATTATAAAATCCGTAAAATTTTCTGGACACACTGTAGTTTTACTGCTTCCAATAATTGATTCTAATGTAAGTAACTGTGCAACCAATGGCCAATATGTTTTTTAATTCTTATTATTTATTTCGATTCTTGTGTTTTTTTTGCAGATATACGATAAAAATTATAGTTTAAGCAAATTAGGAGCATAAAATAAAATTACAAGGTGAGTGGATTTATATTTTCCTTTCAGTAAAATATTCCCCAAAATTGTAAGTTCGCGACCCCTTCCAATATACTAAAATTTTCCACGACTTTTGTCCAAGTTTAAAATGTTAATTGGACAGTTCGATGCAAGCTCTCTCTGGTTTTACGGTCAAAGTCGGCGTTGTTATGCATTCTCTAATTCTATTTATTCTCTCGAAATCGTGAGATTTATGTTTTGTACTTGTTTTTCAAATAAAAAGTCTAAAAAAGTACAATAGGTGATATACTGTAATACTTGTGTGAAATTGGTGTACTTTTTGCAACCCCTAGTATTCGATGCACCCAAGCTGTGAGGTCGCGATTCCTAGTCTGGGAAGCCCTGAAATATAACATACACAATTGAGAAAAAATAAAATAAAATACACATATTTACTTAGGAAAGGAAGCCGTTCAATATCTGATTACATTTGTAAGATCGGAATTTGAAATTCTTGATCTTTCGATTAGAACGTTGGTTCCCCGCGGCTTCCCTATCCCTATATATTCTATTCTCTTTCTCAAAATTTCTGTATGACTGATGATAGATTCTTCCCAGGGGATAAATTTCTCCCCAGTCTGGAAACGTGGGTTTAATTTAAACCAATGCTTCCCAAACCCGGGCCAGTTACGTCGATTTAATATGGTCTGTCGCCAATTGTTACGTGAGTATCCCAGTATCAGTATTTGTATATTCGCAACAATTCAAGTATTTTGTTATTATAATTACACATCTCGGGGCCAGTATCAGCCCCTTGCAGGCGCTCCCCTCTCCTCGCCCTCGAATATCCTTCTGCTTCTAATTTTCCCCCCCGGTCAATCAGCTTTGGGAACCACTGGTTTGAACCATTGGATATTCTTTGTATTAGACTGCCAACTTATTCACTGCCTTCTTTAAGCAGACATATGTATTGCGGCTCATGGTTTATTCTTTTGATAAAAATGATTGTTGTTTTTCAGATGGGTTCAATGCTTTCGTCCCAAATGGGTTCAGTAATGGATGAAAACATGAAGAAGCAGCAGGATTTTATGATGAAAAACCAACAGACCATGATGGAGCGGAATATTGTTATGCAGGTGAGTTTTGTAGTCAAAATTCACTCTGAGGAAGGCGCTAGACGAGCCAGTTATGTGTTTCAAATGCATGGACTTGATTGTGGAAATGGAGATGTTGAACCACCTTCGGAGGCATCCGACAATTCCTTTGCGCATAACTATCTCTGCATGGGATTCCAACCTGCGAACTCGTGTAAGGTAATCAGAGGTATGGTGGCTTTTTATCGCAACTCTCAAACTCTTCATCTAATGCTTATTTTTATAGAATGAAATGAGAGAGCGACAAATGGCGATGGGAATTGCAAGAGCTCGTGAAATTATCAAGTATTATGCCGGATTCTACAGCTTCGTTCTTGTTGGGGGTTTGGCTGGGTGAGTGGTTGCCTAGTTCTATTACTTTTGTCAAAGGCTGTTGAATCAGGGAAAGGGCTGGGAAGCTGTAATTTTTCGGTGGAGCCAGAGCCAAGCTTACCATGTTAGATGGACCAAAAGCAACCAGAAATTTTAGTGGCTCCATCCCATTATTTATTCACATTTATGATTTTTCTAATACTCCATACAAATAATAAAATCTATTTTTTTCGGAACACTAAGTAAACTTCCGCTTTTCAGTTTTTGTAAAAAATTCAGCGCTCTGGAAGTATGTGTACCAAGATGGCGCAAAACCCGAATCCTAATCTGGTACACATCTATGTTCAGGTTGTGCACATACTTGGTACACATACTTCGGGAGCACCAAAAATTCTGCTATCACCTTTGATAAAATTTGTATTTCCTCAAGGAGATTTCAGAATTTCGTCTTCCGACTTCTGTGAAAACATTCAAAATTCTGTCACAATAGCCCTAAAAATTCGTCCTCAGAGCCCTGATTAGGAAGTTTGGGACGTTTATCCTAGTTTTAGCTTAGCCCACTCAAAGCCTTGTCTGTCCTGAGCAGAACTTGTGTAACATTCTCCAACTTAAATTTATTTTTCAGAGCAATGAAAGGTCGTCCAGCCGCAGCCATTCCACTAATTCCATTCTCATTTATTCTTGCGTTCCAATATGACGCAGCCTACGGAACTTTGCTGTCAAGGGTCAGAGGTCAGTTGATTTTACTTCTAATTTTTTATTTTTAATTTAAAGTATGTGAACCAAGATGGCGGACACCGGAACGTAGTATGTGTACCAGGTTAGGGTTAGGCCATAATTTCGGGTACAAATACTACGGGAGTCACTTGGCTAGTCCCCGAACTCGTAATAGAACTAAAATAAGTAAAACTGGGATAGAATTATGGCCTAACCCTAACCTGGTACGCATATTACGTTCCGGTGTCCGCCATCTTGGTTCACATACTACGTTCCGGTGTCCACCGAATCTCTCGGCAGCTATGTCATAGGTTCAAAGCGCTCCATAATGAGACTCTCTTCATTTACTCATTAAAATACTGACTTGGTTCATTTTTTAACTGGCCAAAGAAGCAATTACGGCATTATAAAAATTTGTCTATGGTAGCGTCAAAATTTGGCGATAAATATGATATTATCTATATTATATTCCAAAAAAATAAAACTTGGACTTGATATTTTTTTTAAATTGCTAGATGGCGCCAACAGCATTATAAAAGACGAACATGATCTACTTGGACTTCCCAAAGGTCTCCCGACATTCGAATCTATAGAAGAAGGAAGATTAGCCAGGAAGCAGTAGAGAAAATAATGTTGATTAGAAGATGCAAAAACTTTAAATTTTCCTTTTTTTTTCACAAACAATAATCAGGGTTTCCCAATTATAATGTATTGTTTCTCAATGAAGAATCTCAATATTGACCATTATCATTTGGCATTTTTATGATCACAAGAATTTCCATCCTAGATGTGTCGCATTGGAGAGAAAAATATTAATTGAATCGCAATACTTTCGTTAATCGATTTTTATTTACACAAAGAATGTGATCAGGCTTTTTAGTGCAGAGGTCAGGACTGGTTATGGCCAAAAATGTTTACCTGGAATTCCCAGGACTAATCAGATTGTCTCAAAGTAAGGGTTGAGAGTTCTGTATGGTGGGAAGTGGATATTTATATTCCAAATTTTAATTAATATTCGGTGCTCCCAAAGTATGCGAACCAAGATGGCGGACATCGGAACGTAACATGGGTAACAGGTTAGGGTTAGGCGATAATTTTTTTCCAATTTTCCTTATTTTAGTTCTATTATCAGTTCGAAGACTGGCCAAGAGCCTCCCGTAGTATTTATACTTAAAATTATGGCCTAACCCTAACCTAGTACACATATTACATTCCGATGTCCGCCATCTTGGTTCGCATACTTCGGGAGCCCCTAATATTGAAAGTTAATTCTTGAGAAAGGGTTTGACTTTTTAAAATCCCCCTCTCCAAGGTGATTCCAAATATTATTGTATTGTTCAAATCTCTCTAGTGTTTTTGCATGTATTTGCTCGAAGAAGAGCAATTTCTCTTTTTCTCACTTCACACGAATGTGTATTCAATCAATGTTACCTTCTTTTTGAAAATCACGTACTCTATAGCTGTTTCCTAAAAAATATTTTTTTTCGACTAAATTTACAAGATTGAGTATTGAATTCTCTGGTACTTTTTCAATTTTATTTGCTTCATGTATCAATACTTAGATTGTGATTGTCTTTGCTCCAGATGTCATATATATGTACAATTATGTGTTTAGTAAACATAGAAATTAACCCTTTCCATGCGGTGGGCACGTATACGTACCAACAACAAAAGTCGCTAGATTGCGGCGGGTAAGTTGATGTACTCCACTGTTTTATTTTGCAATCGGTCGCAAACTGTTGGTCTAGTTTTTACGGGTTTTAGTTTATTGATAAGAAATCTTCTTCGAGATTAACATAAGCGACTGTAAATCTCGCTTTCGTTTACGACGGGAATTTTATTTGCGGCGGGACGAGGGAGTGGTTTTGAAATTTATGCAAATTTCGGTGTTTTTTGGGTGGTAATAGAAGACATATTATCCCTTCCATCTACCAAGTATTTTGAGATCACGAAATTGCTACAGCAATATTATGCTATTGTTTGCCAACCACGAAGCGGTAACAGTAAAGGATTTAGCGAATATTTCTATTTTTTATCACGGTTTGAAATTTCAACTCCCTAGAAAAAAAATGCCTCTTTTCTATCCGGTTTGTGACTCAGACCACCACTTTTAAAAAAAATTTTTTTTTTTAATCGCCAATTGCAAGCTCTTTGAATAAGCTTTCCAACGAGCCGTCAGTGGGCAGCAGAGGATCATTAGTTTTTTGTCAGTCGATCGATTAGTTGTGGGGATACAAATGCATAAAATCGGCGTAGCAAATACTATTATTTAATAAAAAATAAAAATCGCATGGAAAGGGTTGAGAGGTTTGCAATTATGAGACCATTTTTAAAATTGCAAAACATAATTTTAAAATGTTGAAACTTAAAAGTGTGAGAACGATGAAAAATATTTATATCAAAACTCCGCTAACCTTTCATTCAAATACTTGTTGAATATTACCTCGAACTACGATTATATTACATGAATACATTACTTTTATTAATGTTGAGATTTCATAACAAGAAGCCAAATTTTATATACCACCTAAATCCAAATATTCGCTCTTTCACACCATTATACGATGTCCATATTTTGTTTTTATTCAACTGTTTATAGGTGTCGAATTGTTGGGGGCATGATGCCTTTTGTTTGCTTGCTGTCAGCCTTCCGCTTTGAATACTGTACCAATTACTTTAAAATTGTCTCCAAAAAGGGTATTTCTTTTAATATTTTTTTAAATTTATTGTGCTGGTACCTTTTTTTCTTTTGGTGAATTTTGTCGATTTTTAGAACAAGAGAGCTACGCCCAAATAATGGACACGTCTGTTCGCAGTCAGATCACAGTCTACAAATATATTCACACCAAGCGAAGCAGTACAGTAGGACACAAAATGGCGTCCGATGTCCTCGGAACGTTTAATGACGTCATAGCAAACAAAAACAAATCTCACAGAGCTAACAGAAATATTTAAAATGAATAAAAGTAATAGCCTTCTGGGGAAAAATTTTATCTTCAACCACTGAAAATTTCAAAGCAATTGTCCAGTATTCGAAGAGAAAAGCGTTTTTTTAATATTTCCACTAGGTGTGTTATTCTGTGTCAAAGAACAAGAACAACATAATATTGAAACGATCGTTATTGTCGCTATGTGTCCAATAATTTCATCACCTAGGATTCCTCAGCAGACCATTTTTTTCAATTTCTGAGTACGGGAGGGAACATTGCTTAATATCCATATTTATATGTTTTACTCTCGTGTACAGGTATTTTTGTCCCTGTCGCAATCAATAGCAATGTCTATCGTATTCAGTGTTGCAAAAATGAAGACTTGTTATGCGTTCATTCAACTTATAAAAATGAACCAATCTTTTCTTTATGAATTAACGATTAATAGTGTGTGTATGTAGAGAAATGTTTTCAAAATATAATTATTATCAGAAATATTTGAGTGGTTTTATGGCAACAAAAGTGCAGTCTCATCCAACGTGGATAGTCGTAGTCAAGTTTATTTTTTCCATCCAGTAAAATACAACATACAAAATTAAAAAAAATAATAATTTAAGACGCGTACTTACTGGAGAGGGGGAGGCCACAGGAACCAAAATTTGTTATCGAGCAGCGACACCCAAGATTCAATATCTAATTAGGGTAAGTTTGCAGGGTATGAAATTAAGTCTTTAAAACACTGTTTTCTCAGAACCTGGTCTTCGCTAGTCCAGTAGACCACACATACTATAAAGCTTCGTCAATAATAGCGGCTGTATTTATCAGTGGCGGCGCGTGGTGATTTTGACAACCGGGGCAAGCTACTGCGGGACCAAGTCACCCCCATCTACGGGGACGGGATGAGCGCTGTAAGTTCTCCCATCATTTTATGAATATAAAAACCATTCCATCGGTAACAACCAATCGGCAAAAGCGACAATTTTTAACGATAAGAAAGTGTCTTTAAAACCGGTCCAAGTCAAGGGATTAATAAATATAGACATAGTTTATTTTGAAACCTCTTTCAAAAGGAAAGGCAATATTTACCCAGATAAATACAATGACATATTAACAGAAACTTCGGGAAAGCAGACAAAACCTAAAATAAGGTTTAAAACGTTACTATGAAGAAAGGAAAGTTAATGCAAAGATAAGGACATGCGTCGCTCACTCATAGATATATATGCTGCTAGACTTCTACTGCTTGAACATATATGCAACACGCCGCGGTTTCTTGGAAGCAAAATGCTCAATAACGCGCTGATTAAAGTCATGCATCCCAGAAATAACGTCTCTGTGAATGGATAAAACAGCCAAGGAATTTAATCTATCTTGCTTCATTGTGTTTCTGAGATACGTTTTAATACGCTTCAGCGTGCTGAATGTTCGCTCTGCGTCGGCGGAAGAAATAGGCGTCGTCAAAATGATGTCCAGAAATTTTGCAGACGCCGCAAAGGTAGTTACTAGAGTGTTATCTATGAGGAACCAATAGAGCGCGCAAGTTGATGTGATGTTCAAAAAAGTTTGATTGGTGTATATACATCGCAATTCATTTTCCAATTTACCAACGTTTATCATGGGGTAAAATTTGGAGACAGTAGCCAACAAATGGATGGGAAATTGACGTGCAAATTTTGAAAAATTTTTGGGTTCATCAAAGAGAACGCGGCAAGGTGTTCAGTGCGCAGACGATCGCCTATTTGATTCACCAGAATGTCACAGCATTCCTTTGCAGACAAAATCAAACGCTGCGTTGTTTGCCCGCGGCGTAAAGAAGCACTCCATGTGTCGTCGAATTTTATTGTTTCCCGGATACGAGATACAGCATCGCAGAAGTCTGAAATACACGACTGCACGCTCCATCCATTAGCCTTGACTGCAATGCGCCGTATAATACATCCACGTGATAGAATATTGTGGAGAAAAAAGCGAGAAAAAATGAAAACTCACCATCTTCTAGCAGACGCTTTAGACCTGCCGCCTCCCTCACAGAGCGTTCGTCCCAAACCGGAGAGCTCTGAATGCCATTGAAACACTCAATGAGCTCAGACCTAATTTCGGACACGCCCTGCACCACGCGTGATTGGAAGTTCCAACGTGTTGGTGCACAAGCTGGGAGACGGCGGCTACATATCTGGCGAAGAAGGTCAGAGCGCTTCGGCGAAACGGAAAAAAATGAAGAAAACCCCGAAACATTTCCAAACAGTTCCAACGTGTTGGTGCACAAGCTGGGAGACGGCGGCTACATATCTGGCGAAGAAGGTCAGAGCGCTTCGGCGAAACGGAAAAAAATGAAGAAAACCCCGAAACATTTGCAAAAAATATACGGACGAGAGGGGTATCAAGACACATATATTCAATAACGAGGTTAAATTGGTGTGCATAACAATGTAAAAAATTCGCAAGAGGAAAATCTTCTTTTATATAAACTTGAACACCATGTTTCGACCCACTCATGACTGACGCGCCGTCATAAGTTTGAGCTATCAATTTTGACTTCGCGTTGTAAGGCTGTAACACTTCTTTCAGTACAGCCGATATCCCGCAAGCCGTGCGATCAACGATTAGTACAAAGCTGTGAAATCTCTCGGTAGGTTTACCATCTTTCACAAACCGAAAAATCACAGCCAGTTGGGAAACGCACGTGATGTCAGTTGTCTCGTCAGACTGAATCGAAAGGAACTGGCAATTCTCAATTTCCAGAG